CGAGACTGAGGATCGCGGTCGCGTCGGGCCCGCGTTCCGTCCCGGGGGGGGGGGGGGCGAGCGCGAAACGATATCCGATGAGGCACGACTCCGGGCTGCCAATCAAGGTTTTTAGAAAAAGAGTGTTCGGACCTCTTTGTTTTTCCAAACGGGAAACAAGAATATTCAGGTTCATATTTCAGATCCGCTCACAAATCGAGCAAATCGCCAACGGTACCAACAAAAAAAAATACCTACATTTCATAATCAGTTAAACAATCAGTTTGGTATATTTTTCAAATACACATATGTGAAATTAACACATTACACACTATGTTTTAGACTTTATATGTTAATAAATAATTAATATCATAAAATTAATCAAATTTTATATATATTTAAAAGTCGGAAATTAAATAAAAAATATTATAATAAAAATCATTAATTTATGCTTATATAATGCACGTTTTCGTGTTTTAAATCCGGTTTCACCAATCCGCGGAGAGACTCACAGCGCTTCTCGACTTGTTACGAACAACTGATTGATTGTGACATGAAACGATGTGCCAAGCATTCTATTTAACACAAGGAATACCGTCATGGTTATGATTATCAGTAAGTGTATCAATCACTAATAATCAATAGCAATCATAATGGATAAAAATAAGAAAATAATACACAATCAAACTTGTCGTATATTTCGATCAATATCTTTTGTAAAACAATAACATTCGATTAAAGACAAACTTTCTCTTCCTCTTCCTTCCCTCCAAGAATCTCAGAAAAATTTCTGAAAGAATCTTAATAATTCAGAGAAAATGATAAAGGAGAATTGATATTAAAAGTCTAAACCTTATTAAATTCTTCAAAAGAATTGAAAGATTTATAGTTGGTTGTCAAAAAGTTAATTGTAATATTAGCACATTGTTTCTAATGACAGTTATAAATTCATATTACTAATGACTGAATGAGTATGATTGAATAGTAAACTACATTTGTACATTTGTACAAGTATTAACAAACGCATTCTTCTTTTATACTTTCTTCACAGGAAATAGACGACAAAGAAAAAATCGCAAATATGTAATGATCACTTCAGACGCTTCAAAAGATCGAGAGAATATAAAATATTGAATCCAGACATACTTCTATTCACTATTTCATCCATAAATAGTCGAGCAAATTGATTTTGTTAAATTGCGTATATGACATTTCTTAAATTTATATATTTCTCCAAGTACAAAAACCCGTGTACAAACTTCCCAATCATTTTAATCAATCAATTATTTTAAGCAAAATTTATGATACAAACGTATTTTAAAATTTAAATTAAATTTTGTATGATTTTTAAAATTATTAAGTAACAAATTTACATTTAATCTTTTTCACATAAGAAAGAATTGCAAAAACAGATTGGCTGCTATTGTATATATAAAAATAATTCAACTTTATTACTATAGCCATTTTTAATGATACAACAAATATTAATAATACAACAAATTATTTTTTTGTTGAAAGATTTTACGTTGTAGGTCCTTATAAAAACACAAATTTGTCACTAAAACAAAACATCCTTGATAAATTTTGCTATTATAATAAAAGAATTAATTATTATTAGTAAAATAATTTCTAAATCTAACAGAATTAACAAATAAAATTAATATTGTTGATAAACCTTTTTACCTTTCACATTTTACCTTTTATATGATTAAAAGCATTTGCAGCAAGGGCATAAGATATACTGCACCAACAAACCTTTCTTTTCCATGTATACATTTTATGTACACATATTTCACGAACGGCTTTTGATAAAGAGCTATTTGAAAGTTCCAAGAAAGCCATTGCTGTCGGACCCGCATGCCTTTCATCAGTACAGTTTATAAAGCAAAGGCTTTTAAAGGGCTTCCAAATGTTCAGGGACGCGAAGAAATGTAAGTTATCACATAAAGAACATGTGCTTATGTAAGAGTAGCCTCAGACACTCGTATATTCGAGTATAAACTTCGTTCGCGGTTTGACATTATCGAACATTCACGTAATAGTGGGCAAGCTTCAATTTTCGTTGTTAAACAACTCTAAGATTAATTTTTTACTGGCATTCTCCTAAAAAAGAAATCGATTTCGTATTTGTTGAAGGATACCCCGACATCCCGACAGTATCGGCGTCTACAGTCTGTATAATTGGTGGAGAACTGTTATATGTCTCCTCTTTGCTGAATCTCTCTCATGAGTTGTATTTATAACTCTCCTAAATAATTATTTATAGTGTCAATGTCATGTTAATATTTTATCTATATAACCATTTACTACGTTGTAGATATTATTGAAAAGAAAATCCTTGAGAAGAAGTTTAATTAAGATTTATTTAATTGAACTTTTGCAGATTTTGAATACGCACCATCAAAATTTTTATTGTTTAGCGAAACTTTTTGAATTTTGTAACATCAATCATTTTTTATACTTTATAATATTTGGCATAATATTTATTGATTAAAATTTTAATAATTCTTTTAAAATAAAATAAAATTCTATTTGACTAATGACTAATAATAAAAAATTTATTTAAGCATGTCGGAACATACATGTTTCATCGAAAAGGAAAGAACAGTACAAATCTGTTACATATACAATATTGCATTGTATTGATATAAAAGATTAATACGAAAAGATCTTATTGGGAACAATAAATCTAATAATAATTCAAAAAATTAAGGAATAAAGCTGACAGCGATAATGTAATCGTGGTAATAAATGACCGTGTTTCTTTTGCTTGAGATTCAAGTCGAAGCTCGTGCGCAAGATTTAATTTACGTCTCGACGTCACAGGTAAAGCGAGGATCACCGCGAAAAAGCAGGACAACGTAGAAAAAGAGAAAAATGGAATGGAATCGATCGCGAGACGCAATTAAAAAGGACGAGAGATGAAGTTCATCTAGTAAAGTAATCATGATGCGATGCGACAGGCAAAACGCGATGAAGAGGAACTCAAAGAACGTTACGTAAAATAGATAAATAAATAAAATGCGAAAATGAGTAACACAAAAAAGATCTTACAATTAGTCCTTCAGTAATATCAGTAAAATTAAGTAATAGATATTCTGAATATCCAAAGAGAGAGAGAGAGAGAGAGAGAGAGAGAGAGAGAGAGAGAGAGGAGAGAGAGAGACGAG